GTGAGAGGAGTCAGTGGATGTTAAAAACTCTCAAACTTCGTTTGTTTATGCTTATGAACAAATATTATATATATGGACTTAATTCTTTTTGTTAGGGTGTATATGGGTGAGTAGTGTGAGGTAGACTATTATTTGTTGGGGAGATTAATTCTTAATGATGTGACTTTAATTAGTGTTTAATGCTGTTGTTACTGGCATTGATGTGCTTTTTATTTGTTAGAGACTTATTGGTGTTGGTGTGGTTTTATTGGTAATAAAGCCACCATTGTCTTGGTGGTACTTATTGGAAGTTGTAGATCTCTCTATTGGTGACAAATAATATATCTGTTGTTAGGGTAAGTGGTGGAAATTACTGCCAAAGTGACAGTTGGTTTGAAATGTGGCTGAAAGTTGTCAAAATAGGGGTTAGAAAGTGTCAGATTGTGTAAATTGGTGTCATCCTCATTAGTCTTATCTAACTCGTGTCCTACAGAAAGTTTTTTATTACAGCAAGCACAAGACGGGTCAAATGACCTCTCACAGGTCACTCCAGTGTGTTACTGAGAGTAATAACTACCAAGGTATACCACTGATCTGACCAACTGACTCTTAATATGTTGCCAAGAGTGACAGCCGTTCACGTACATTGACCTCGCCAGAGGTCAACTCCCTTGAACTTCTTATACTGCACTAAGTCAGAACACCACGTCAAGACGCAAGTCGTGGCGAAGTCCTGCGCATACTTTTCTTGAAGGACTCGTTGACCCAGCCACCTCAAAGATGAGAGGTAAGATGGAGACACGAGACAAGGCGGAGAGATGATTGCTGCTCGACTGTCGTTTCCAGACAATAAACCCACCCATCATTACGACCTAGTGACAAGTCAGACTTGCTCTCACACAGTATCGACACCTAGTACTCGTGGCTTAGGCGGTACAGAAGTGGTCGGTGGAATACAAACATTTCTCAGCATTTCGCTCAAAAATAAGATTTTTCAAGTCATACAGAGGGACTTACCAACTTCCCGCAGGCACTCCATTTGATGAGGTGTGAAGGCATGTGCAAGATGTCACCAGTTCTGCCCACGTAGAAAGAGGTATGCCAGAAGCTTTGTCATTAGCAAGGCGCTCAGATTCTACGGTATTGCATCTCGATGAACGGCCCTTGTGGATTCTGCATTCTTACTTGCCTACAAGAATTAATGTGTTACTTGTTTCACCCACGTAGCATGTATCACATACTGCCCATGAGTTTGTATAGACCTCAGCTGTAATGTCTGGTGTATCTAGTAAGATCACAAGTGGTTTTCGACGCTGAGGTGACACACAAGTTGTTCTCAGTGCTTGTGTGATAATTGTGGCCGACCTTCCTTTAGGTTAAATGATATACATCTACATCTTTATTTTGATGTTCTCGTTTGGGTTTTCAAACATATGTTGAGCTTTTCATCTGCAGTCAGAATTAAAACGTAGTGTAATGATTACATTTTTCCGCCGGAACGGTCATTTTATTGTGGCATATCTATCATGTTGAGAGTAGCGCAAGAACACATTGATATACAAAAGCCCTACCTATCTATTGTAAGAACGTGTAGGATATTTATTTAATAGTCTGGTATCTTATTTTAATTAACACTATACCTTAACATAGGTTATTATACTATGTTTATATTCCTCAGTAAATGGAAGCTAGAGCACGTAGTGTTCAAGAAAGTAACCATAAGGCTGACCAGATACTTTGCATTTAGTTTGATCATCGTCTGTGTGTGCCACACTGCCAGAAATACTTAAAACTTGGCTGGTACATCATCAGTCAGTCTGTTCACATTACAAATTGCACCATAAATATACTTATCTACATTCATATTGTAGAGATAGATTTACTCAGGCTTCTAACTGCATTCGTATAACATTCACTTTCATTGTTTACTGATCCCAGTCCCCCTAATGCTAGACACACATATACCAATATTATATACAGTCTTTTCCTTCATTGTACTTTCTTTGGCTAATTTAAGAACTTTATCATGAAGATGTAATTCAATGTCTGATGCAAGCAATAAAAAAATGTATACTAATTCCCCTTTCTCTGATTTTCGAGTATCTACACTGGCATAATATGCTCACTGGCATATTATGTCATGCGAGTCAGATATCTTCACTGATGACAGAATCAGTAATCAAAGAGTGAAATTCAGTGTCATAAGGTAGCTTTAAGTATGTGAAAACTCTCAGTAGTGACACTACATTCCTCTTCAAGGAATTGGTTGCTACATACCCACGCGTTCCCAAGAATAATTCAATAAATGCTCTCCATTTGCTTTTCTTGAGGTGGTGTGAGCAAATGCATCAAGTCTTGTTGGTGGGTCCTCAGTAATGTTAATGTTCTTGCTTGGAAGGAAAGGGAGTCCTCTCTGTATGGAGGATTTTGCCATATTGAAGCAATTATGCAAGTTTTTTTTTTTCAGCTTGAAGCATCTTGGTGTTAATGTGGGCGCTGTCCATGTACCTTAGTCAAGTGATGGTATAGGTTGTGATGATGGAGAAATGAACTTCTGCTTATAGAAGATATTGTCCACTGGTTGTTAATGGTCTGGTGACACCGACAAACTGTGGAAAACGACACTTGTGTACAGTTCAGGACATTTATTAAAGGAAACGTTTCCCCACGAGTGACTTGAGTAAGACGCATGTGCAACAGTTGGGAATCTTTATTGTTGAAACGTTTCACCTACAGGCTTTTTACTTCTTTACATCTTTACTCTGCTACTACACCTGCTGCTTGTATTTAATAAATGTCCTGAAGTGAACACGCTGTTCTTTACCACATCGTCCACTACTGTGGTTTGGCATTGACACCGCCAGATTGGTCTGTATTGAGATAACATACATCTCAACCATTTGGTTGCATACTTGTGAACGAGTCTCGCGTTATTACTTGTTGTCCAGGCTTCAACATGGACATCACCTCCGCCAGAGATGTTTAAAACTTGACAGATACGACAGCATCAATCGAATTCAAGTGTGGTAGGTAGTCTTGCCTGAGCGGTACACTAGTTGCATTCCCCAGTGGTACTAGCATGAGTATCTCTCTCCTCTGTTCTTCCCTGTCCTAATATCAGATATATGTGTGGGAGGGCGTGGAAACATATCTTACCAGTTGCGTGGGGGGAGCGTAGCCCCACTTACCCTGCGGATGAAGGAGGTAAAGGATGCCACAATGTAAATTTGGGCTTTTTAAGATCTTGATAAATGCAGCCGGATGTCGTCTCTGACGAAGCAGATAATAATGCTTAGTGTTACCCTAATGTTGATTAACACACTCTCTCTCTCTCTCTCTCTCTCTCTCTCTCTCTCTCTCGTATGTACTCACGTATTTGTGGTTGCAGGGGTTGATTCACAGCTCCTGGCCCCCGCCTCTGCTGATCGCTATTAGATCCACTCTCTCCCTGCTCCAATTTGTGTGTGTGTGTGTGTGTGTGTGTGTGTTTGTGTGTGTGCATCGGCTATTAAATAATAAAACAATTCAGAAGACGTAGACTGAAATATATTGAACGTGTTTTAACGGATAAACGAACTTCACAGTAGTTTACCCATAAAACTGAATGTGATAATGGTATATAATACCCACAGATTGATGAGCGGGACACGTGTGCAACAGTTAGTTGTCTTTGTTTCGAAACGTCTCGCCTGCACAGTGAGCTTCTTCAGTCAGATACAGAGGCAGCAGGTATAGTAACAAAGTAAAGATGATGTAATCAGTCCATCAACGTGAGAAACGGTATTTGAAGTGGTCAGTCCCTCAGCCTGACTCAGGGACTGACCACCTCAGATACTATTTTTCGAAGATTAATGGACTGATTACATCATCTTTACTTCGCTACTATACCTGCTGCCTCTGTATTTGACTGAAGAAGACCACTGTGCAGGCGAGACGTTTCAACAATAATGATGCCCATCTGTTTCACGTAAATCTTACTCATCAACAGGTGTCCTACGTATTACTAACACAGTTTCCTCTGGCGGCGTCGAATTAGTAGACGCAGTTTTTGAATGTTTGAACCTATCAAACTAAGATCTTTGGAAGTTATCGGAGTCATTTCTGGAAGCTGACAGTGACTTCCATAACTTCAGTCATAGAGTAACTACTCAACACAACATTTCCCAGAACCTTGCCCGGTTTACCGCACACCAGCGTCGGAAATTTGAAGCCAACAAGATGAGGCGTTCTGGAGTTATGAGATAAATGAGAAACTTTATGAAAAGAAACCAGGCAGCAGCTTGAAGGTTTCCCGCTCAGAGATACCCAATTGTTGACACGGCTTCTCCGATTTTTAAATACAAATAATAGATTCCTAAAAATGCTTTAAATCTGTGGGAGTTATATAGCTATTTAAGAGTGGTAAGTATTCTATTTTGATCCAAGTAACGTAAGGATACCTCCAGCTTCTTTTATCAGTAGTGTCTCAGTATCCAGGGCCTCTTTAGGGAGGGCCGCGGGAAGACTAGCAAGCGCGGCGGGATTTAGGCTACCTGGCCACCGGTAAGTTCTGGACCACCAGGTCAGGCGTGATCTTGATGGCCATGTCCGGTTTTGTTATGACGACCTGATCGGGTTTGGTAATGACCACCAGGTCAAGACTACGGTGCTCATCACCTGCTCCTAGACTGAGAGACTGATTACCCCGTCTTCTACTGTCTTCTGTATACTTTTCAACAGTCTTTAGATTAGATCCATGTACGTATTGATAGTCACTAGATATCGAAACCTCTACAAAGTAAAGATGCTCGGATATTGCACATGTCTAATTCATCATCTTACTTAAGAATATAAGAACGAAGGAACATTGCAGCAGGCCTACTGACCCATGAGAAGCAGGTCAATGTCCCCCCCCCCGGATTAGCCCAATGACCCACCTAGTCAGGTCATTTCCACTTAAGGTCCAACTCACACCCACTCATGTATTTATCTAACCTATTTTTAAAACTACACAACGTTTTAGCCTGAATAACTGTACTCGG